TTAAGCAAATGACAGACTGTCAGGCACAGAAAACCCTTATATGGTGGCTGTTAAAAGCACTGCCTTGAAAGAACTATTAGCTAGGACTAAGATGTTGTCTCCACCATTGCCTGAGGAAAGTAGGGTCTCCTCATCTCAAAGTGTTGTAAACTGAGTTTTCTCATCAGCCTCTAAGAATTGACAGTGATAACTTGTTTCTATGATTTCGAGGTGTGTATGGAATCACAACTTCCCATCAACTTACAAGAGTATTGTTGTTGTTAAATGTCGAGTTGAGCACGACTTATAGAGACCCTATGGACAAAAGACATTAACCCTGCTTTATAACTAATGCCATTTCTTTAAATTCATAGAGTTGTCAGAGGTCTGCTGTTTAGGAAGTGGATGCTTCCAAGCCTGTATTAATCTGGGAGCTCCAACATACACTGTCCACCACGGATAACCTTATGACATTTGACACATCAGTGTCAGAGTGCTTACGATCACAGCAACCCCAAGTTACCTCAGTACAGCGAATTGACAGACCAGTGCAGTCTACAAGAGCGTACAGGGGGCGGTTTATAGATATTCACACAGCTAGTGTTCGCAAATCCTTTATTCTTTTTGGCTTCCTGTGGTCCAGCAAAAATGGAAAATATAATGCACAGGATAGGAAACAGTAGATGTAATGGGTGAAGATAGCACAGGATAGGACAGGATTCAGGTTTCTTGTTCATAGTGTCTGAGTCTTAGTCAACTAGCTGGCACCTAAGAACAATAAAGCCCAAGGGAGTAAAGAATTTTCTTACATAGTAAAGACTAAGACACCAAAAATATTTTTTAAAAAACAAACAAACACCCAATAAAAACTGGAAACCAAGAATATTGGTGGTATGAAGTGATGGTGCCAGACACATTTAGGACGTGTTGAGGGTTTTTTAATCATCTATTATAGTCATTGTGATAATGGCTTTAGGTCTATCAGAGATCATGAGTTTGATGCAGAATAGGGTTGTAGGACTTGTAGTGAACTCAATGACACCTAACAGCTAAACATCAGTAAAAACACTGAAGCCATGCATCTGCATAAAGAAGAAAAAATTGAGAGGTATCACTCAGTCCATTCCTGGGTACTGTTTGGGGAGAAGCAAGTTGTTGTACTCATGTAGACAGAGGACAACTGAATGAAGAGTTCAGAAACATATTACATAAGTCTTTACTCATTTTTTTCAGATCAAATTTGATGATAAAGGTTTTGTATCAAATTGGTTGCCCATGGTTACCTGACGCTCTGTGGAAAACCACCAGTCTTTCCTGCCATTGTCCAATGGGCTCATGCATAGTGGCTGTGATGGCAGGAATGGGAATTATGCATGGGCTCAGCAACATAAACTTCCAGCCACCAAGCCTCTAGCATGATGTCTGACTCACAGACTTGGTACTTGACAGTGTGTGAGCCACTTTGAGTTATTTCATGACCAAAATAATTCATGGACTTCCTGGATAAGACTTGAGGTTTGAGGATGTTCAGAATGAAGTATGATACTCTGTTTATATATGGTTGTTGAGTAAAATTAGTAATAGTAGATGACCAGCAAAATTGTAAAAATGGTTATGAAAATTCTTTCTCCTGGAATATTTTAATTTGATCTAAGAAGATGCATGCAGGGCAACATTCCAACCTATTGTTTGCAGTGTTGCTTGGAGTTGGCTCAAAGGTACCTAACAACTCGAGACTTCAGATCCACAATTGCCCATTTAAAGTGCTTAACAGTGGGATGTCAGTTTAGGGACTAGGGTGCACGTGTTATGGAATTTTCACTTGCTTCACAGGCATTTGAGTTGGACAATGAATAAGGAAAATAAAAGAACTGATTTCTTTGTAGTGTTGAAGAATATTGAATATACTGTAAAGTGCCATTAAGAGCAAAACTCCAGTCTTGGAGGAAGAACTACCAGGGTATTCCTTGCTATGGGCCATCTAGTCAAAACCAGCTGACCCCCTAGAGGGTTCTCAGAGGCTATGAATCACACTCAGAGGAGACTGCCTCTTTGTTCTGCAATAGTAATTAAACTTTGTCTTTGTAGTTTGGGAATGTTGTCAGGAGGGACCAGAACTTAGACAGAGATTGTAACAACCGGTTTGAGCATTGAAGAGACTGTTGATTGGCAGAGGAGAGGAAATGGCTTTGATTTTGTTCCTAGAGTTGCCATGAGTTGTGGTTGAAACTTACTGGTGAATGTGAATAGTTAAGACTTTAAGACTAAAGAGCCATGTATCATTTATATTTGTTAAAAATTATAAGCTTGAGTAGTAATTTTTCCAACTTCAGCACAAATATGGCTAACTTGGATTATTTTTTCAAATTTCTCACAAATATGCCTGAAAAACTGGCTCAGTAAAATGAGGTTTGGCTCTTGATCTCAGATGTTAACATCATTATAACGTAAATAATACAAAATTTAAATAGTCCATTTTAGCAACAATTCATGAAGCTACTAAATTATCTTTAAATAGGTTATCTTTATCCAACATAGTTATAATACTGTAAGTCCTTCTTATACATGGATCAGAAAAAATAATTTACATGAAAACATTTTTCATACATGGTGATTATTTTATTACCATATAGTATTGTACACAACTTTGTTTAGTAAGTATGAACATTAAAAATAATATTATAAACAAAAAATGTATGCATGGTGTATGTGAGTAATAAATCCTGAAAGAAAGAAAAAAAGCTATGAAAACTTTCATGTGAAAATTAAGCAATACTGGAAAACATTAATTTGTCCACAGCAATGACTGAAATCTTCATAATAAACGGGAGTGTTTGTAATCTTGTACTGTTTAAACAATCTAATATAGAAAAAGTTCAAACTGAACAGAGTTACCAGACTAGAAATGCGTATCATATAAAAATAATCCTCTCAATAAAGCAAAAACAATACACAAAACATTCTTTTTTGCTTTGGCATTTACAATACAGACAAAGATGTATTTGGTTTAATGTGATTTTATTAATCTTAGATAAATTTTAGTTCTTTTATATAGATAAAAATATACAATATTGCTCTCAAAACTCTTCATTGTATTTAAGTGCATCACTGTTATATTCACATCACAACTTATAAAGCCTGTTTTTCATTAATAGACTATTTTAAACATAATTCATCCAGTAACGTGGAAGATTTAAGATGAGGTTTATAGAAAACAAATTTTAATCAAAGTTCTAAATGTAAAAATGGAATATTAATGTAGACCATTTGTCTCATGCTATAACAAATTATGAAATGTTTTAGACTATTTTTCTTCCTTTAAAATTAGTCTATTTATAATTTAGACTGAAGATGCTTAGTACTGACAAAGATATTTTATCTGAACCTAATTTTATATACAGTGTCTTATTTTTATAAAAGAAAGTTGGATTTTAATAATACATTTCAGCTGAGATTCCACCTGATATATTAAAATGCACAGAAAACATGTTTATGCCCCTCTGAGGTCATGTTTAAATAGAAGAATGGCAAATAGTGGCACTTTTCTTTTAAATCACTCGAGGGCATTAACATTGGTAGAGTAACTACTTTGCCTTACTGATAATAAAAGTCATTCTAGTGCAGAAATAACATAATGTTTGAAGTTAAAAGAGGTACATGGTTTGTCTTTTTCTTAAGATCATGTTAAAAGCTGTTGGGTTAATTATTTGGTTTCTTAAAAAACATACTGATAAAATATATAAAAACAAACATGTAAATTATGAACTATTGTTTAAAATGACAAACTGAAATTACTTTACAAATAGTTTTGTTCACTATAAACTATATAATGCATGATCCATTTCACTCATAACAGTACTTTACACCAAACATTGGTATCTTCAATTTTAACTTTTCTCAAATATGAGAAAAACAAATAGTTTCCACTGTTTTAAGATGTGAATGTAAAAGTCAACATAAGCTATCTGAAAGGAATATAGAGCTAAAATAGTATTTAAAGACAATTATTACACTTACATGGATGCTCTGCATAATTCAAAGCGGTTTTCCTTTATTTCAGTTTAATAAACAGTTGTCACTTATACTGTAATCTCCATTATTGAGATTCCAATAATGACAAATAGCTGAGCATGTCTTTTCTTCTGGAACCACTGATGAAATTTAAGTGTTACTATCTTAATAGTTAAATAATAATATAAGAAATAATTTGGAAGATGTTTTACTTTCAAACTTCTTCAGATAAGGCACACAGCAACATTTACTCTCTAGAAGCAACTAGATTATATAATAAATAATTACCTTTTCAATCATTATTTGCCCTTTACATGAAGAAAGTGGTTAAGTAGTGCAGTTACAATACATCTGAAGTAATAAAAATGATTGGTTTTGAAGAAATATAAATAGTAAATGTGCACAAAAGAATGTTATTAATTAAAAAAGAAAAAAGTATATTTCATATAAACATACATCCTACAGTATTATAGGTAGAAAAAATTCTGAGGCACTTAGATTAAGTGAAGAAGAAAAGCAGTAAGATTGTCATTTCCATAAAAACAACAAACCACTTATTTCAACATCTGAGATAAAAGTACAACTAACAAACATGGAAAAAAGTTTTGTAACTTTGTATTTGATGTACTACTAAGAATCCAGAAGTTCAAAACAGTATTTTATTTATATTCTGATAGAAACAATTCAGAGAAAATTTTTTTAAATTTACAGGAATCTGAAAATTCTCCTGAATAAGTTTTGCATACGTTATGATACTCAAAATAATGTAAAATGTATTATGGTACCTCATTATTCTGTGGCAGCCTATTTTAAGAACTGTAGCATCAAATTTTTCTTTTACTTCTAAACTCCTTTTGTAAAAAAATGCAAAGTGTGGTTTGAAATAACAGTGTACATCAATGCCTCCATATCAACTTGCTGATGCCCAATATTGAGAGTTTTATTACTCTGCAATCCTTCACAAGCAGTTTAAGCAGCATCCAGACACAAGGTGAAAGCTGGGTTTGGAATTACAGAAATCCACTGGATGTCAAATCAGGGAAAGGTGTGGTTTCTGATGGATGATGAAGAGGCTGAAGATGTGTGGGAGCCTGAGTGTTATTCATGCTATTTAATTCAGGTGGATAGGTTTCACTGAGAATGCCTCCATTCTGGATCTGAGGGGGGAAAAAACACAGCAATGTTTCTTATTAGACTAAATCTCTCAAATATCATAAGCCATTAAACAATGTGTTAGTTTTAAAACCTTTAAATGTTTTTTGCTACTGCTAAATTTTAAGTCTTTCATTCAGTGAAGATACAAAGAACAAAGATGTCAACTGTTACTTATAACCTACTGTTTTCTCCATTATTTTGTTAAGAAATAATGTAGATAGTACAGGCAAGTGATACTTATTTGACTTTAGATTGGCATTCTAAAGGCAATTCCAAATGAATTGTCTTTGGTGGGATAAGAACTGATGGGTAAAGAAATATCAGTTATGAATAACAGTTATAAGTAATATGAATATTTTCTAACAGATTGGTCTGTTTTGACCAGAACTTTCTCAGGCAACATCTGGATAGTGGTTAATTCATTCACATTCAGAATTACCACAGGATCCTAAATTGCTGTTGTATACCATGCAGTTGGAACCAACTCATAGCTGACCCTCCGGCAGGTTTTCAGAGTCAGTTAATCACATGGGGAGGAGATTGTCCATCCTTCTCCAGTGGTGTAGCTGGAGGCCTCAAACTGCGGGCCTTTGGGACTATAGCGTAGCTTCTTGCCACTAGGCCATCAGAGCTCCTAGTACCAGACAGAAATCAACTTTCCAAAACTCATCCTAACAGGTTGTACCTAAAACTATATATAGTATGATGAAATGCACGATCTACACTGGATTGCACATAACTAACACTTTCCCACAGAGGTCACTTCTGACTTTCTAAGTGTTCTTAAAACCCCAAAAATGTATTTTACAATAACCATAATTTCCTTAATTTTTATATCCAACATACTTTTAACAACTATATTATACTAACATAATTTAGTATAATTACTATATTAAATATTATACTAATCCCAGAATCAAATTACCAACAAAAAAATACCTTTTCTTGCCTTCTGACACTGAACAGTCTCTCAGTTTTTATAAACTGCCACTCAAAAAAAAGAGGTAAAAAAAGAAAGTAAGAATCAGAGTGATGAGAGAGGGAGGTGGAAGGATGGATACGAAGAGATATTTCAGAGTTACTACAGCACAATGTAGGGTTTACAGATCATAAAGCTTTATTGTTTAACATTCACTTAAAACTGTAAAAGCTTTTAGAGTCAAAGGGTACACCAATGATCATAACAGCATTACTCACAACAGCAAGAACATGGGAACAGCTGAAATGTCCAACAACAAATGACTGGATTAATATGGTATCTTTACAAGAAGGAATATTATGCAGCACTCAGGAACAATGATTTTGAAAAACACAACATACTTGGGAAAGGCTAGAGAGCATTATGCTGAGTAAACTAGGGCGCATAAGAACAAGTATTTGACAAGTTCATTATTGTAGAGATCAGAAGGATAAACAGTGAGATGTGTATAGATATATAAACAGGTTTTTATCAGATGTTCAAGAAGAGTAAAGAACGTAGAACTGTGCCACTAATGGGGGAGGGGGAAAGTCCTGTCTAAAAAAGGTGACTTTCTTTACCAGAGTTATATCACACCATCCTCTGGATCCTCTGCTGGAAAAATAGAATCAAGTCTCAAATAAAACTTTTTTAAGCTGTATCCTCTAGAGCTCTGATGGCCTAGTGGCAAGAAGTTGTGCTGCAATCCCAAAGGCACACAGTTTGAATTCACCAGCTGCTCCGTTAAAGAAGGATGGGCAGTCTCCTCCTGTGTGATTAACTGTCTCTGGAAACCCACTGGAGGGTCAGCTATGGGTCAGTTCTAATTCTACGAGACACAACAACAACAACAACAATAGTATTATAGACATAAGACCATACTGTAACATACCTCTATGAATGTAAAATATCTTGTACCTGATTTAGGATATGTAATAATGACCATGCTATATCAGAGCTGTTTTTTTAAATGATGTTATCATAAATGTTTTCTTTCCAGATGATGATTAATTTAAAAAAAAAAAAAGGTGCCAGCTACCACGGTAGTAACAGAACTTTGCTGTTTTCTGAGGTTTTGTTTTGTACTTTATATTTTTAATGGAATGTGCTGGACGTTTCTATTATTTTTGTTCTGATGACTACAGAACCTGGAAAAGCTATTGCTGTTATAATGCATAACACATTGCTTTTAGTCTTTTAATATAAATACACACACACACACACACACACAATTTGAATGTTTGGAAACTTTAGCTGTGCTGTCAAGTTTGGAAAAAGTATCCTAGTTGTACCATGTTGAGTTGGCATTGTACAGAAACTAACAGCCATACTGGTCTAAAAATGTTAAACAGCTACCATCATTTTGTAAATTTTATTTTTTTTTAGGAAAAAAAACCCCCAGCACATATTATTTTTAGATTTACTTTAAGTGCTCTTGCTGACTGGTATTCTTTTGACACAATTAGACAATAAAAATACAAGATCAGGCTTAACTTCCATGAGAGAAAGTCAGCTAACTATTTAAGAATCTTAAGAAAGAGAAAAATTCACCTTCAAGGATTAAATGAGGATCTGACAGAGACCTGCATTAAGTAGTCTTTGACTAAATTCCAGAGAAAATTTAGGGAAAGGTCATTCTAACAAAGCACACCAACAGATGCTTTTAACCCAATTTCAGACATACACAAAATCTGCACATTGAAGATACCACTTCTACAAATTCAACAGTTTCCAATGTTTGAATTTTTCAAATATGGACAGTGTTTGGTAGCGCCCCTGGTTGAAACAAGCTTGGAAGCAGGAGTGGCATCCACTTCCTTAAACAGCTTGCCTCTGAAACCCTATGAACCTGGAGAAAGGATGGAAGTCATGCATGCAAGTGTTGAGGACTTTTGTTCATAGGGTCACTATTAGTTGCCTACAACTCAGTGCCACTTAACAACATAACAACAACATATAACTTTTTACATATCAAGAGGGATAAACCAAATTTTTTATTCTAAATAAGACAATCATAACTATTTTTACCAGGAAACTTGGGTATTTTTCATTTAAGGACATTTTTTGCTATCTTTTTTGTGATTTTCCTCTCCTTTATGTTTCAGGTAAGTGTTACACTTAGACAAATAATGTACTAGAAAAACTACTGTCTGATTAAAGTAAAGGAGTCACAAATACAGTAGGAATTGTTTTCAGATGAACCCTATAGATAATAAAAGAATAAAAATCTAACTAATGACTAATTTACAACTACGTATTCATTTATTTATAAGGTAAGAAGAGTCACTGCGTTTTATTCAGTTCAATAAAAACCCTTACCTCATCCAGAAATGTCCGAGAGCCTGGGATTGCTGGATTGTACTGCATCTGATCCAGCTGGGTGTGCTGAGCTTTCGGCTGGCACTGATACATTGACACGGCCCCTGCATAACATGTCTGTGGAGTCACTACAGTTGACTGTGGATTTAATCCATGTTCCTGGTGTTCAGAAACTTGTAAACAATGGACAAAACCTTCAAAATTAGATGTACTAGGGTATGGGGATGGTTCGAAATTCCCCACTGGAATGTCCAACTGAGTGCAACTGGCATGTTGTGGTATTACAGACTGGAAGTTCTGTGTATAAGGCATTGTACTGATGTCAGATTTATAGGGAAATTCTTGATTCGTCCTATGCAAGTCTGGAAAGACATTATACTGCTGTAGGTCTTGCTGAGGACAACTAAAAGGCACAGCCTGGTTAGAGTTCCAATTTGCAAACATGCCATTAACTTGCATATGCTTCATTTTCTGGCAGAGCTGTTGCTGCTGTTCTACTACTTGCTGTTGGTGGTGCTGCAGTTGCTGCTGTTCTAACTGGAGGTGTTCTTGTACCATACAGCTTGAGTTTAGAACCACAGACTCTTGCTGTTGGTAACCAGAACACATGAAGGTAGACTTACTTAAAGAATCTTGGACGTATGTCAGTAGTTCATCTGCTATGTCAATGTCTCCGAAGTCATCCTCACCAGAAAAATCGGCCCTGAAAAATTCCTCATTCTGTTGCATGTGCTTGATATCTTCAAAATCAATGCCTAGGTTTTTCATAATGCTGTACAAGTCACTATTTTTATTATCTGGAAAGAGGCCTGCTTGATCTTCAGAGACAATCAGGTTCATTTCCTGAGACTGAGTAACTTGTTCATGTTTGAGAGGATTCTCACTTCCCACTGGTGTAATATGGTCTTCCCAGTTATTGCACTGATTCATAGATTTGTTTAAAAAGTTTCTTTCAAAGGGTACAGTATTTGAAGCTGGATAAAGATAAATCGATTCATCTTGTTGCATTCTGGCACCCAAGAGGGAACTGGGGTTGAGGGAATCCTTATTTAAAGTTGATTTAGCAGCAGAGTCTTTTGCACTGCTGCTGCTTTTAGTCCTTAATGGTAAAGGATCAATCATGGGAGGAAAGGGGTTGGCTACCTCATACAGCACAGCTTCTCCAGTGGTAAACATAAAAGGCAACTTCATATTTCGTTTTCTTAGGTGCTCTGTTCCCTCTTCCTCTCTGAAATTGCATACAAGAAAGTGCATATATTAGGAAGAGTTCTATCAGCAACATTTAAAGTATAACATATGTCACACTGAAAAAGAGAGAAGTAAAAGAATGGACTACAGGACATGGGCTTTATTTGAACCTGGCCTAAGTATCCTGACGAGACTCACACTCTCCTTACTTGCAATGACATATACATAAATTAATTATCCTACAGTCAGGAAATCAAAAAGCGTATCGCGATGGGAAAGTCTGCTGTTAGGGATCTCTCTAAAGTACTCAGGAGCAACGGTGTCTCTCTGGAGACTAAGGTGCGCCTGATACAGGCCATGGTCTTTGCAATCGCTTGTTATGCATCAAAGAGTTGGACAATGACTAGGGAGGACAGAAAGAGAGTTGATGCTTTTGAGCTGTGGTGCTGAAGAAGAGTACTGAATGTACCATGGACTGCCAGGAAAATAAACAGATTCATCTTGGAGAGGATTAAACCAAGCTACTCCTTGGAGGCAAGGATTCTGGGGCTTCGTCTGACATACTTTGGACATGTTGCCAGGAGGGACGGGTCCTTGGAGAGGGACATCATGCTTGGGAGGGTGGAGGGACGGCGCAGGAGGGGATACCCTCTATGAGATGGATTGGTTCGGTGACTGGGGTAATCGGGATGGGTGTGTCAGAGGCAGTGTGGTTGGCGCAGGATAGAGCAGGGTTTAGGGCTGTTGTGCACAGGGTCGCTATGAGTTGCAAATGACTCGACGGCACATAACAACAACAACAACATGACAGAACACATTTATAACAGAAATACTGACAAAGACCACTTTTCCAAACTACAAAAGATAATTTCACAGGTTGCTATGATTAGAAAAGTACTCTAAATAAAAATTTTGTTTTATGTTTTATAGATAGTGTTAGATTTTTGCTTTTCCTTTATATACTCATGATAAAACCAGGAGCTTTTAATTATTCTATTTCTACAGGTCTACATATTTACTGAAGACACTGGTGGGTCAGCAGTGTAGTAAATAGATAATTAATTTCTGGCCAACAAACCTTATGCAACCACTACCTATATGCCAAGGGAGGCCTGCATGTTGCTATGATGCTAAACAGGTCTCAGCGGAGAGAGGCTAAGGTAAAAAACCTGATGATTTACTTATAAAAATCAGCCAGTGAAAATCCTATGGGTCACAATGATCCAATCTCAAATCAAGAGTGAACTGGGGGGGGCAGGGGGAGGAGAAAAGTGCAACAACGAATGAATGGAAATCCAAAATATCTGTAAATGTTCACTAAAATTAATAACAAAAAGGGGGGGGTGAAATGCAATAAAATTTTATAAAAGAAAAAACAAACAAACAAAAAATCAATTACAAGACTCGCTGGCACTGGCAGCCTCTAGTTTTACTTTGTAGGGTCACTGTGAGTAAAGTCAAGTCAGTAAGAGCTAACAAGAGCAGACTCAGTTGCTGCTAATTTGTTGGTCTCAGTATCTCTTGGCTATGTTCTCTTCTTTCTATCCATTATCTTTTCAGTTCGTTCATAGCCATCGAGTCAGAAGTGACCCTCCACAAGGTTTCTAGGGCTGAAAATTCTATGGGAAGAGACTGTTCATCTTTTTCCCTGGGAGCCACTGGTGGAGTCTGTCAGGGCGACATGGTCTCTGGGTTAGTAGTACAATTCCTTGTGGACAATGCCACCAGAGTTTTTGTGATTTATTTCCAGACTAAACTCTTAATATATTCTATGTCTTCCCTTAAGGGAGCTTTTCAACCTAACTTCTATTAAAATAAAAATGAAATAATGAAAACTTTATGTCTTTATGCTTACGTGAGAGGTCTCTGAGTGGCGATGATATAATCTGGTCTCCCATTTTTATACACTAAGCGTGCATTGGATTGAACCCACGCCCACCGATTTCCTTTGGTAAGAAGCCTGAACACGGTCATGCCACTCTCTCCAGTCTTAATCACTGAAACAAAATTTAAAAATTATCAAACTCAAAGGAAAAATGTTAAAGAGAATCTGAAGCAAGTCTCTTGGGCATATAAACACTTTATTTATCAACAAAGAAGAGATTAACGTGACAACTTTTTCACTGTATCATATTTAAAATCCATGAAAATGTTAATGTAAGTTAATTTTATCCTTTTTAAGCTGTTGTTAGGTGCTGCTAAATACATCAGAATATATATCCATTTGGCTGGGCCATGATTCACAGCATTGTTCTCCACTATGTGATAAACATTCTATTGTTAAAGGATTAGCATGAGAAGCAAGCCCAAGTCAGATCACAGTCCTGATCCAAAGTAAGGGGAGCCTGACTGGGCAGTGGCCTGTATCATCTTTCATTTTATAGGAGATTAAAGAAGAAACAGGCAGAGAAGGAAGACTTACTACTACCAAGAAAGAAGAGCCAGGAAAAGAGTTTATCCTTTAGATTGAAGCTGTCAGTACCAGCAATGTCAAGTCATACAGACATTTCCAAGGAATCCTGGGTCAACACATGCTGAAAGGACTAAGGCTTTACTCTCAGAAATGACAGTTTTCCCCTAGTGCTGATGCCGAGTTTGGACTTGCAGTCTCTTTAACAGTAAAAGGAGAAATTTCTGTTCTTTAACAACCATCCATCCACTCATGGCACTTTTGTTACAGCAACTAGATACTAAGACACTTTATAAATTAAAAGTTTAAATACATATTAACATACAGTTAGGAATTAAATGATGCAATTAAAATCTTCTGGAGCAAAATGAAAGCTTTGCTAGGTAGATTTTAGAGTAGTTAATAAGAACATTAACTCTTCTTAGTGGTTTTGATATAGATCAGAAGTACATCAAAATAATTTCCTTAAACACATGGTCTTGTAATTTGAAACATATACTGGAGTAAGTGGCCCCCCTTCTTTGTGAAGTTCACAAAGAGCTGTAACTTACTTCGGATGTGATTCTCAGCACAGTAAAGCATATCAGCAGCATGAATAAATTGATATCCTGATCCTCTCATGCACAGCTCTGCTTCAGTATATCCCAAAATAATTTTCCCTCTGTTTTTTTCATTAAAAGGAAAAATAAGAATGATTTAAAACTTAAGCAAGAGAAATTCATTGGTTATATGCTACCTTGTGCAATATGTTTTACTTAACATTCAGAAATTAACATTAAGGTATTAAAAAAATGGAAAATAGGTAACACTTTTGCTTATGGATGAAAACAAGTTTAAATCTATTTTATTCTCCTGAATAAATACCATAGAAATTAGTGTGGCTAAAGGTGAAGCTAAAAGAGCAAATTATCTACATAAAATCCTTAATGTTTAATTTTTTTTTAAGTCTTTCATATTATTTCTCTGAATTCCCATATCAAAAAAGGAAAATACTGTGGTCCTGGTATAAGTATTTAGTATCAGTTTGTACTTAAATTTTCTAAAGGTGATTAAACTTATACAGCTAAAAAGAAAATAATTTTTTAATAATGTAAGACAAATGACACCTGGTGAATAACCTTACTAATATATCTGATTATCATAATATGGAAATTATGAAAGGATAATGAAATTGCAAAATAAGATTATTTGTGAGCTTATAGAATTATCCTATTCTAAAATTGGCATACTAAAATAATATAAAATAATAAAAGCTAATAAAATAGTCAATATGATAAACAACTCATCTTACCACATCAAGATGAAATCAACTCATAGCTGACCCTCCCAGTGGGTTTTTGAGGAGTGGAAATGGCATCTTTTCATCTCTCTTTTGCAGGGCCACTGGTAAAATCAAACCACCAGAAGCCCCACCTTTCTGTTAACAGTGTAATTCTCCACCCACCAGGCCAGCAGAGCTCCTATGGTGCCTAGTGGTGAGGAGTGGAGCTGTCAGTCCATAGTACATGGTTTGATTCCACCCCCTACAATGCTGGAAAAAAGATGGGTAATCTTCTCCTTTGCAATTTACTGTCTCTGAAAACCTGCTAAGAGTCAACTATGGGCTGATTCCAACTCAACAGTACATAACAACAGTGAGACAATTACTTTGACAAAAGATATTTGATTAAGTAACAGCTGCTTACTTGGCATCGCAACCAGTAGGTGTAAAATCAAGTCTGTGTTTAGTTCTAAAGATGAAATTTTTGGTTCGGATTTCAAGTATGGACGGTGGCTGAAGTGGAGTAGCTATTGCAAACAAAGCCAACTGAGGTGGAAGGATTGATCCATCTTTCCCTTTCTTGTTCTGCCCATGAAGATATTTTAGCCTTCCCTGGAAATTCATTGCCTTAAAAAGCAAAACAGTTAATTAAAGGTAACAGTTTAAAACATATCTTCCTTTAAAAAAAACAAAACAAACTTCACTGTGATCATTTTAAGATTGAAGACTGCTACTTTCCCCCCCCATTCTTCTCTCCCCTGGAAACCAATTATAACTAAGATTAAGAAGGTAGAACGAATTATATGAAGAAATGTCTTAGTATGGAGACTACCTGAAGAATTGGTAAGAGAAGCATTCCTTGCTTCTTATTTAATAATAATCTTAACAAGAATACTTGTATTCTTTTTCTGAGTCTGCAAACATTCCTATCATTTCACAACTATTCCAGTGCCTCAACATATTTTCTAAATGAACAGCGAGTGATAAAGTCATCAAACATTGATTTTCAAACATACATGAGGTATAATGCATTTATCATCCACAAAGACCAAAGTACAATTTTGTCAAAACATGAAAATGAATCACTGCAAAATCACCTAACAAAATGTAGAGCTCCATTAACAGCAAACTTAAAAAATAACTTTAGAAACAGCAAACACTGACAATTCATACATTAGTATGATCAGTGTGGTTGCTTAAAACAGTATTTAAAGGCCAAGACTGAGTGTGATGTAAAATCTGATAGCATAAGAAGGAAAAGATTTTATTACCACTATTACACACTGAAATTCAATCTCAGAAATACAGTCTTGATTACCACTACTAGAAAAGCATTTCCAAAGGACAACTGAACTCTGAGCCAGCACAATAATCTTCAAGAAGATATTTGAAAAAGGCCTACTCCCCTCCCCAAAATCAAGATGTGCTAATGTAGAATTAAAGTTTATTATCTATTTCAAATTCCTGATAATTCACAAAAAGAATATACAACAAGTTTGTATTTTCTTCTCTCATACCTGGTAGAGTGAGTGAGATGTGATAAGAGAGGAAAGATAATGTCTACTCTGATTATTTAATCTAATCTACTCTCTATAATTATCCCACCTAGATGTAGAGTTTTCAAATTTAATTCCAAATGCAAATTTCTACTTTAACAGTAACTTAATGCTAAACATTAATTTCATAAGATTTTGTACCTTACCAGAAAACCAGATGAATTATCCAGCAGACACCTTAGACGGCAGATGAAGCATCTCTTCATAAAGGAAGAGTTTTCCGGAGGAAGCTGTTCTGGGTTATAATAGACTACTGGCTGTGGAAGACTATTAGCCTCTGCAGAAATAAGAATAACACAAATTTACTTTTTATTCATTGTGAAATTAAATTTTACTGCCTGAAGAACTAAAGCTAGTGTTAATTTCTAAAATGGAGCATATTATGAATACAAAAACCTCATCACTTTCAGAAGTTTTAATGAAGAGAAACAGAAAACTTTTACTGAATTTTATTACACAGAACTTTATTTTTGTTTTTATTATTGAATTATTGTTGTTATTACTAATTTCCATATATTCTAATGACTTTTCTTTTTAACACCTACACAGATTTCTGGAAATATAGCTTTTATTGATTAAACTTTCTACAGTTAGATATAAATTTGTGCACTTTAAACAACGAACAATTTACATATACTCCAGTATTAATCATATATGTTTTTCACATCTTTCAAGATTTTAACAGACTTAATACCTTATTACTTCTTACAGCAGGATGTTTTCTTGAAACCCCTCAACTGTTCTTATTTCTCTTCTCATCTAGATCATGTAAGCTGGTCCAAGTCTGGAATTACAGACTCATACCTTTCCATTCCTCCCTCCACTTTATTATTGAGATTTATACCCTAATTGAGACCTTAAAGAGGACTTAAAGAGGTGGAGTCATAGTTAAGCTCTTGGCTGTTAAGTGAAAGATGAGAAGTTCGAACTCACAGTTGCACTGGAGGATAAAGATGTAGTGGATTGCTACTATAAAGATTACAGCCTTGGAAACTCTTTGGGAGAGTTCAACTCTATTCTTTAGGGTCACTATGAGCTGTTAATCATCTTGATGGCAACTGTGAATGGAATTCCTGAGGACAGCAAATGGGTAAGTTCCAATCCATTCAGTGGCACCTCAGAGGCAGGCCTGGGAATCTGCTCTGCACAATCACAGCCTTGACAGCACTACAGGGCAGTTGACTCTGCCCACATGGAGTCTCCGATCCAAAGGCAACAACAAGAAGAAAGGTCACTGCCTCCTAACAGAACTATAGTAAAGAAGCCAACAAGGCTGTGTTCTAATAAACATCCTTACCCTCAATTCTTTGTCCTGAGTCTGCACACTGTGAAGGGTTCAATGCCCAGTGTAGCTGTCGCTGAAATTCAGCTCGGTCTTCAGTATGAATAAGTTCATAAACACTTTGATGTATGACATCAGACTAAGTAAAAGAGATGAGAAGAAATAAAATACAAGAAGGAAATTAAAAAAAAGTTACTAACACAATTTCAAGGACACTATAGTCAGCCAATAGATAAGGAATGCCAACCCAATGGAAAGCAGTTCTAACCCTCTAGCTGCTTTGCAAGAGAAAGATGGGACAATCGCCTGTGTGCAATTTACATCACAGCCTCAAAGACCTGGGAAGGGTCAGCTCTGAGTCAGTCAGCTTTGACAAAACATAACAACATCAATTTCAAGACTTGTCTAGAGAAGTGGATGATTCAATGCAATTTAAGTGACTGAAAAATGTTCTCTAGTGATGCAAAATAAAAGTTAAAAAGATGGTAATAGACTATGCCTTTACTTTGTTAGAATCTCTTCCTGCTTTCTGGTTCCTTGGCATTGACTACAGTATTTAGACCTTTTAATTCGATGTTTTTCTAATATTATTATAGTAGCTCATGTTGTTGTTATGTGCTGCTGAGTTGCCTGCCATTCATAGTGACTCTATGTACAACAGCCCTAAACCCTGTTCTATCCTGTGCCAATCTTATTGTCTCCGACATACCTGTCCCCATCACCCCAGTCACTGAATCAATCCATCTCATCAAGGGTCTTCCTTTCCTGCTCTGTCCCTCCACCCTCCCTAGCATGACATCCCTCTCCAAAGACTGACCCCACCTCGCAACATGTCCAAAGTATGTCAGATGAAGCTTCAGCCAGACTTCACCCTCTCCAGAAGAATTTGTTTGTTCTCCTAGCAGTCCATGATATATTCAATACTCTTCTCCAGCACCACAGCTCAAAGCCATCAATTCTCCTTCTGTCATCCCTAGTCACTGTCCAGTTCTCTGATGCATAGCAAGTAACTGCAAAGACCATGGCCAGGCGCACCTTAGTCTCCAAACTGACATTGTTGCTCTTCAATACTCTGGAGAGGTCTCTGACAGCAGACTTTCCTAATGCAATTTGTCTTTTAATTTCTTGATTGCTGGTACCAAGAGTGTTGACTGTAGAGCCAAGAAAACTGAAGCTGTCAACAATCTTCATCATCCATCATGATGCTGCCAATTAGCCCAGTGGTAAGAATATTTATTTTCTTGATATTGAGCTTCAATCCATATTGAAGGCTGCAGTCCTAGACCTTCTGCAGCAAGCACTTCAGGTCCTCCTCAGTTCCACCATGCAGGGTTGTATCATCTGTGTAACACAGATTATTGATGAGTCTACCTCCAATCCTGATGCTACACTTCTCCTCATAGAGCCCAGCCTCCCAGATAACCTGTTTTGCATACAGATTGAAAAGATAAGGAGATAGGACATCCTTGACGCAAACCCTTCTCAATTTTGAACCATGCAGTGCTTCCTCGCTCCATTCTGGTGACTGGTTCCTGGTGCAAGTATAGTTTTCACATAAGTACAATCAAGTGTTCTGGGATTCCCATTCTTCTCAGAGTCAGCCACAGTTTGTTGTGGTCCACACAGTCAAATGCCTTTGCATAGTAAATAAAACACAGATAGACATTCCTCTGGTATTTCCTGCTTTCAGCCAAGATTCAACTGACATTTTCTGTATTTCACGCATGCACATACACACATATCACACTCCTATGACAATCATAAAAACACCATAATCAGGCATAATACTCTATATTTTATATGCCTCTATTCTATTAAATCCTAAGTAACTAAACAAAAAGGTTGATAGTGATTTACTGTATTATTCACTATTTGGTCATAATTTGCAATTTTAAAAATTATAAACCATCACTTACGGCAAACATAATTTTCTTTTAAAAAAAAGAACATCAAAAAGCTAGGTAAGAAAAAAACATTAGACTGGAAAATTACTAATCCCTTTTATTTTCTTAAATGAATCACAATATCAAATAATAATTAAGAGAGTTATACAAATCATTAAATTCCAGACAGGCTTTTATAAGGCCTTTTATATATAGTCTTTAAAATTACAGAAAAAAAATGACATGTGGGCTTTGTGCCAATGGCCATATGCTTCTCTTCAGTTATCTACTCACAAGTCTTCATAAGAGCTAAACCTTCTGGCATTTAAAACATCTCTACTGCATCCATTATACAATTTTCAGAGCTATCATTTAAACACAGGTTGAAGCATAAACATTTTCTCTGACAAACATCTGTAGTGGTTTACACTCTGTGTGTGTGTGTAGTCTATACTTAAGTTTATACACCAATGTTATACAGAAAATATTACTCAAACCGGCAGCCTCCATATCTCTTGTAAAAATTATTAAAAATTCAGTTTAGTTACTCTTACTGAAGAGGCTCTAAAGTTCAGTACTTATGTAGCTGTTACCTAAAAGGTGAGTTGCTATTGTTTACCAACCCGTAGCTAATCCTCTGGCAGATATTCAGTGGCAGTTAAATGCATGACATACTTCTCATCTTTCTCACAAGGAGCAGCTGGTGTATTTGAATTGTATTGCCTTTGTGATTGCAGTGCACCTTTTTTCCACTACGCCACCAGAGATCCCTAAAAGTCAGAACCAATCAGCTACTCTTCAAGACATGGCAATCTGCTTTCATAAAAACTGAAGTATTAGCAAACCAATGGGGGTTCAATTAATATTGTTGCTCAATAGGAGATTTTCCTAATGCAATTCACCCTTTGATTTTTCTGGCTGCTGGTGCCAAGAGTATTGACTGTGGAATCAAACAAGTTGAAAGTATTAACAATCTCAATCTCTTCTCCATGTATCATGATGCTGCCAATTGGCCCAATAGTGAGAATCTTCATATTCTTGATACTGAGTTTCAATCCACATTGCAGAACTCAGAGCTTGACCTCCTGCAGCAAATGCTTCAGATCTTCCTCAGTTTGACCAAGCAAAGTTGTGTCATCTGCAAACACAGGCTGTTGATAAGTCTCCCTCCAATCTGGATGCCACATTTCTCCTCATGAAGCCCAACTTCCCAAATGATCTGTTCAGCATACAGATTGAAAAGGTATGGACAGAATGCATCCCTGATGCACTCCATTTCTGAATTTGAACCATGTAGTGTTTCCTTTTGGAATCTGACACATCAGTTGCAAAGATTTCAGTTTCACAGTCAGGGATGATACCTGATCATCTATATTCTGAGCAAATTATCCAAGAAGCTGGACTCTATGAAGAGGAGTGTGGCATCAGGACTGGAGGGAAACTCATTAATAACCCATGCTATGCAGGCAACACAACCTTGCAGAAAGTGAGGAGAATTTGAAGCAGTTGTTGCAGAAGATCAAGTTATAAAGCCTTCAGTATGGGTTGGGTCTCAGTATCAAGAAAACAAAGATTCCTACCACTGAACCAATAGATTGTATCATGATGGATATAGAGGAGACTGAAGCTGTCAACATATTCATCTTGCTTGGATCCACAATTACCCTTGGAATGAGCAGTCAGGAAATAAGGAGATACGATTCAAAGGGAAAATCTGCAATTAGGGACCTGTCCAAATTATTGCGGAGTAGTGATGTCAGTTTAACTAAGGTGCATCTGATTCAGGTCATGGTCTTTCTGATTACTAGCTATGCATTTGAGACCTGGACAATGAATAAGGATGACAGAAAAAGAATTGATGCCTGTGAGCTATGGTGTTGGAGAAGAGCACCAAACATTCCATGGATGACCAAGAAAACAAATAGATATGTCTTGGAGAGGGTGTAGCAACCAGGGTGCTCTTTGGAGCTAAGAATTATGAGGCTTCACCTCACATACTTTGGATATACTGCTAGGAGGTGCAATTTCTTGAAGAAGGACTTGATGTTAGGAAGGGTGGAGGGTTGGCGAAAGAGACGAAGACCCTCAACCAGGTGGACTGATAAGGTGACTGCTGCAATGGGCTCTTGTGTGTCAGGAAGGGTGAAGATGGTGCAGGATAGGACTGGGTTCAGGTCTTTTGTTCGTAGGGCCACAATGAGTCGTACTCGACTTGATGGCACACAACAGTAACAACAGTGTTTCCTTGCTCTATTCTGATGACTGCCTCCTTTTCCAAGTATAGGTTTCACAGGAGCACAATCAAGTGTTCTGGGATTTCCATTCTTCTCAAGGTTAGCCAGAATTTGCTGTGATCCACATAGTCAAATACCTTTGCATAGTCAAAGAAACAAAGACATTCCCCTGGTCCTCTCTGTTTCCAGCAAAGACCCATTTGACACTGGCAGTAATGTCCCTTAGTGCCACGACCTCTTCTAAACCCAATGTGTATATCTGGTAGTTTTCTGTCAATGTACTGCTTCAATTGTTTCTTAATAATCTTCACCAACACAGTGCTTGTGTGTGTTATTAGTGACATCACTGGACAATTTCTACACTTTGCTGGATCACCACTTTATTGGGGGTTTTTTTTGTTTTGTTTTTTATTAATTTTAATGAACATTTACAGAGATTTTGGATTTCCATTCATTCCTTGTTGCACTTTTCTCCATGCCCTCC